TGGGTGGGATGGCGGCTGGGTGTGAGTGTGGGTGTCTATGCGATGGCCGTGTGGGGCAGCGGAGGGTGGGCTGGGTGGGCATTGGCCACTATCTGTTGTCAATCCAATGGCGCAGGAGCAGGCAGTGGTACTTGCTGAGTAGATGGGGAGGCAGGTGTGGTGGGTGTGGTGGGTGAGTGGGGGTCACTCTTCCTGTGGCTCGCTGGACTGGAGGGGATGTGATGGGCTGGTGAGCATGGGGGCATGCGGTCATTGCCTCTCACCAGTTTGAGGGCGAGTGGGTGGCAGGCAGGCACACCCATGGTCATGCAATTGCCGCCGCTCACCTGGTCGAAGGGGGTGAGTGGTGGGTGGGTGAGTGCATGGGAGCACACTTATTACTGCTTTCAGGTGGGTTGGGGGTGATGGACAGGGCTGGGTGGAGGGGGCTCGAATTTTGGTCTCCGGTCAGGCAGTGTGGTCAGGGTATGGTACCCTCCACTGTTTCTGATCAGGAGGGTGGGGGAGGGGTGAGTGTGCACCTTCGGCTAGCAGACGTGGGGGCCCAGGCACTTCCTGTCTGCTGTAGCCAGCATTCGGGACCTGTCCCTGACCAAGTGTGAGGGGAAGCGGGTGCCCAGACTCCAGTCACGTAGGGGACCTCCTGCCGATACTCCACTAATTCACTGCCTTGTGCGCACCACCCGTCCCAGAAATCAGGGGCTGCTGCTCATGCATATGCCTGACCCTGGATCCTGCTCCCTCCCTGCCCTGTGGACGGCAGGATCACTGGAATTATTGCCCTCCTTTCTATGTTTTCCTTCCTTAAATTTGAATCATGATCTACTCACTTAGCTTCTCTTTGGGTCTGTTTATAAAGTTTCTCTGTCTCTTATGCAAATGCTGTGAAGTTGCCTCCCTGTGCTCCTCACCTGGGGTCGCTCCTGGCTTTGTCTCAAGATGGCCATGCTGAGCTGAGACAGCTGGTGGAGCCCCTTTGCTCCTTGTCACTTGTCTTTCACTGTGTTTGTTCAATTTTTTTCTTCTAGTCCATGTTCAATTCAATTCTTTACCCATCCTTTTAGATGCTCAGAGTTCCAGGACTGTTATCTGGATTTGTTTCACTTGGTTTCTTGGGCTTTGCTGTAGAGGAACGGTCTGGTGCATCTGACTAAGCTGCCATCTTGGCTTCTCCACCATAACTGTATTTTTCAAATATATGAACTAGTGTCTTCAAGTTTTTCTGGAAATTGCCTGGTAAATCAACAAGGGAATGTAAGGCAGTTCCTCCCTCTTTGTTTTGTTTTGCCTTGTTTTTTGCAAAATTTAATTCCAAAAAACCAAAACAAAACATGAAATCATTTTCTACCAAAAAAAATGCTCATTTTAATTAGATAGCAATTCTTGTTTCTTTCTGATGGTAATGAGAATAGAGGGGTTCAGGGTGGGAAGAAGGCAAAGATGGAACAGTGTAGAAAACAAACCTTACCTCTCTGTCATTCTCTCGGTGGCTGCTTTTAAATAATTCTCTTCAGGCAGGCTTCTCTCTGAGGTGTTGTGTTTATTGTGCCAAAGCACAATGGACTGGTGAAAATTTAACTCATGTTTTGCAAATATGATTTTCAGTAGTTTGATTGAAAACTTAGATTGAAAACGAAAAGGTTTTTTTTTTTTAACCTATATGGATGGTCACAAGCTGTTTTTCCAAGACTTATCAGGTTGCTTCCCAGGTGACCTAAATTAGAAATTTTCCAGCGTAGCAAAATAAGGTGCCTTCTCAAAGGTATTTTTTTCTCCCTCTCTCTCCACACTAGAGATCCAGGCTCCTACAGTGTAACATCCAGTTTGGGAAACTTAATGTGGCATACACAAATGTCATATAATCTACCCTAGAAATAGATAGATTGAAGAAGGAAGGAAAGGAAGAAGGGAGGGAGAAGAAATAAGGCAGAGTCTGTCAAATAATTCCTAATGAGCATGACACAGAAACTACCAATAATTCAAAGAAAAAGAGACAAGAAGCCTTTTAAAAAAATACCTATTTTAAAAAGATAGGTGTCAGTAATTCATTGCATATAAACAATGAGTTTTATTAATTAGAAATGTAAGTATGTTACAGTTTTAGATATCTGAAGCGATCTGGACACTCAGCCAGACTCCCTTCCTGCAGTTGACGTGTTGTGTTTTATTTGTGGCAGAGTGTTCACTTCTGGGTTATTCGTCTAGTGGACGGAATCAGCATGGACATTGTCAGGGCAGGTCCTGTGTCCTTTATCTTTTCATGTTCTGTATTAACAAATACTGGGAATTTGCTAATTACTTATTAAGTAAATCCTGATAGATAAAAAGCATGTGGAACAAGTTAGTGTCTTTAGACCACATTCTATAGTTTTAGAAATTGCATTGATTTTGTTGATTTTGCCTTAAGCTATTATGAAAGTAGTGGCTTCATGGGATCTGGAACTCACTGAAGTCACTTATCTCTAGAAACAGCCTGTTTATACTGATTTTCATTTACATAAGTTAAAAATTACAGAGTATGTGTTGATTGGAAAACTGTTTTTACCTCTTACATTATTTCTAAGTAGCAGACTGAAATAAAACAGAACACAAGGTGTGTCTTATACTAACCTTGGTCAAAATCAGTTCACACTTCAGAAAGTTAAAATTGAAGTCAAGCTGAAAATTGCCCACAGCTAAATTGGTGGAACAAAAACAATGACCTCCTTTAAGAAGTGCACGAGTGCGCAAGTGTGCGTGCGTGTGTGCATGTGTGTGCACACACCACAGTCACTTTACATTATCAAAAAGCATTCTTAAATACTTAAAGACATGGAGGAGGTGCGAGGGAAGTTAAATGCATGGCAGGAACATGTTACCATCCCCCCCAAAAAGTCCTTCGAAAACAACAAAAAAACCCACAAACCAATCCTTCCTGTTTGTGTGTGCTTCATGTTAGGTGGTGGTCATCTCCCAGCTAAGAAGAGACCTGGGCATCTTCCTTGACTCCACTCTCTCAGACATACCCTCTCCTCAACCCAGCCTGTTTTAGTGCCATTGTCACATAATTTTAAATCTATTAGTTTATAGTTTGTTTGGATATCTGCCAGTTCCCCTTCACTCTTTTTTTCTAAAATCTTCTGGTTACATTTACTCTTCCAGATTAGAATCAACCGCTCAAGTTCCGTTAAAAATTCTTAGGAATGTATTATTGGAATTGTATTGAAAGCACATGCTAGTTGAGAGAAAATTGTCATTGTAGTATTGTTCAGTCGTCCCTTTTAGGAACTGTGTGTCTTTTTCTTAATTCTTTTTAATATCCTCTAGTTAAGCTTTTTAGTTCTCTTTCTAAAGGTTTTGTGCATTTCTTGATAACGTTATTGCTTGGTGTATATATACATATATGTATATACACACACATATACATACATAGTTTTCATTGCTATTATGTAGGTGCTTATATTTTGTTACAATTTATAAACAGTATATTAGATGTTATTGTTGTTAGGTGCTGTTGAGTCAGTTCTGACTCATAGCAACCCTAGGTACAGCAGAATGAAACACTGCCCGGTCCTGCACCATCCTCACAATCTTTGTTATGCTGGAGAACATTGTTGCAGCCACTGTGTCAATCCATCTCATTGAGGGTCTTCCTCTTTTTTGCTGACCCACCACTTTACCAAGGATGATGTCCTTCTTCAGGGACTAGTCCCTCCTGATAACATGTACAAAGTATGTGAGTCGAAGTCTCATCGTCCTCGCTTCCAAGGAGCATTCTGGCATACTTCTTCCAAGACAGACTTGTCCATTCTTTCGGCAGCCCATGGTGTATTCAGTATTCTTCAGCAGCACCACAACTCAAAGGCGTCAGTGCTTCATCGATCTTCCTTATTCATTGTCCTGCTTTCATGTGCATATGAGGTGATCGAAAACACCATGGCTTGGGTCAGGCACACCTTAATCAGATGGATTTGTGTATATTGAATTTTTTCTAGTAATTTTACAAGTGGCTTGTTATTTTTAAATTAAAAAAGATTTTTAAAACAAAAAAAAAAAAATAGATCATTCACTGGCAACAAAACTCTTGTCACTTCCTTTTCACTGTTCACACCTCGAGCTCTTCTTTGTCTGTTCTTATTTAATTGGCTAGAACATGCAGAGCTGTATCCAGTAGCAGGGGAGATAAGGAGCGTCCTTGTGTTGTCCCTGGCTCTGATGGAAATGCTTTTAATGTTTCATTATTCAGTGAGATGTTCGCTGTAGACTTCCTTAAGATATCTTTTATCATGTTAAGGAAATTTTCTTCTCTCCTAGTTTGCTAAATAGTGTATGGTTCTTCCCTCTTCCCAAGTTCACCCAAAAACATGCCCAAACCCACTCCATATCCTCCCTCACTGATGATCCTTTGCTGTGTTGTGATCTCTGCTGAGATAGCTTCCAGCATTCTTTAAGACTCCTACCCAGTGTTCCCTTTCTTTGAAGCCTTCCTTGGCCTACTCCCTGTGTACATCTCTCATTCCTCCTTTTCCTAGTTTTGTAACTGCTTTTGGATGTATCTGTATCTCCATGAGATTATAAGCTCCTAAAGATGAGGTCCTTCACTATTCATCTTTGTGTTCCAAATGCCAAAGTCCCCAACATGTATGCAGTAGATGCTCAGTTATTATTATTTTTTAATAAATGAATGAAAGAATCATTGACTAGTATTCTGTGGATAATAGAAAAAGTAGATGATTCCTCTAAACTTGGTAATAGTTTATTATTTCTTAGAATTATTTTCTCAATTTCTTCCATTTTGTTCACTGTTTTGTTTCTAACAGCAGATATTGGGACATAGTCTTCTGAAAATCTGCCAGCTAGTGAAGGGGTAGAAAAACTTAACAAAATGCTACGTATACTGTTTTAAATTTTGGGAGCAGAATTGCTTCTGACTGTTATCAAATATTAGGTGAAATAAAGTTATTCTTGGTTCTTAAATTGTTTTCTTTTATAAAACAATGCACCTGTGTTTTTCTGTACAGGGTATAACTATTCGGCCACTAGTGGAATTTCTTGATGTTAAGAGGTCAAACAAGAAACAGCAAGCTGTCAGTGAAGAAATCCATTGTCGGGTAGGTTTTAACTTAGTGTAACTATTTAAATGATAAAAGAAAATAATGGATTCAGTTGAACAATTTGACACCAAGTTGCTCACTTCCTGAAGAAGAGGGAAGTGGAAGAAGGTAAAAGGGAGGGAAGACTGGGGGAAGACATGGTGGAGGGTAGAATGAACACAGCTGTACTGTAGCTGCTCTGAATTAGCCTGCAAGACGCCGGCATAAACAGAGGGACAAGGAATCTCTTCTTGTTACTGTCTCTAACTGGAAAATGTTTCTCCTGGAAAATCATCGTCACAGTCCGTGTCTTCCACAATTATGAATAATTTCATAATGATGAGCAAAAGTGTCGAAGAATTGCCTAATATTGATATGACCGATATCTCATCAATCTGTTTGGAAATGAATTGTTTTATTACTTTCATTAAAAAACAAACAAACAAAAACTATCACGAGCTTTGGAGTTTAGACATGATGTCAATAGAGTAAAAATTAATCAGTTGGTCTGCTTTTTCTTTTTTAGTTTTTTGATCATGTGAAGACTGGGATTGAAGATGTGTGTGGACATTGGGGTCACAACTTTTGGAGAGACAAGTAAGGAGGGCTTATGTAATCGTTTTATAAAGTGGGTCTGGATCACTCTCGAAGCAAGACATCTTAATTTATATTATTCTTTAAGGAGCCTTGCTGGCGCTATGGTTAAGTACTTGACTGCTAACTGAAAGGTCGGAGGTTCTAACCCACCAGCTGCTCTGTGAAAGAAAGATGTGGCAGCCTGCTTCCTTGAAGATTTATAGCCTTGGAAACCCGATGGGGCAGTTCTACTCTGTTCTATAGGTTAGCTATGAGTCAAAATCAACTCAACGGCAGTGGGTATTATTCTTTAGGATTACAAATCTTTGATATGTTGTGCCATACCATATCCTTTAAGATAAAGTTCAGCCCTTATAGAGACCTGGAATGATAGTAGCTTAAACAAGATAAAAGTTTATTTTTCTCTAATGTGAAAAGCTAGAGGAAGACAGTAGAATCAGCTGTGCTTCACAGAGTCCTCAGGGTGCCAGGACCCTTCTGTCTAGTTGGTAGTGGCTACCATTTCCAAGGTTGCCTCTTGGAACAAAATGGCTGCTCCCATGCTACCTATCAGGTCACCATTCCAGGTTGCCTGAAGGAAGAAAGATAACAAGGAGACAAAGGATATGTTCTCATTGCCTTTTAACCTAAGTGATCAGAAACTGCCACACAAGTCTTCCACTTTGGTTGCACTGGCCAGAACTCAGTAGCATGGCCTCTGCTCACTGCGAGGGAGGCTGAGGAGTGTGTGGTCCACTTAGTTAAAAACTGGGGACTCCACATGGTGAGGGGCTTTATCAAATGGGAGATTCAAAGTGCCTGAGGATTAAAGAGACTAGTAGAAATAAATAGCTTGCTTAAAGGCTACACCTATTTGAAAGGTTATATACGCTTATATAAATATACATATTTAGTTTATCTTTCTGTGAAAGGCTCTGTGGTTGATAAACAAAATTCTTTTTTCAAGAAACTTATAGTCGAAGTGGAAAAGATAGGCTAGCCAGGCAGAAGTAAGTGTGCACTTTAACATAAACTAAAATCAGAGTTATGGGATCAAGAAGTAAGGATGAGAAGTTCACCCCTCAGCCAAAGATCAGACAAGCCCTTAAAACAAAACAAGACTAAAGGGGTACAACAGCCGAGGGACAAGGACTAGAAGGCAGGAGGGGACAGGAAAGCTGGTAATAGGGAACCTAAGTTCGAGAAGGAAAAGTATTGATGGTTGTGGGGTTGTTAACCAATGTCATAAAACAATATGTGTACTAACTATTTAATGAGAAACTAGTTTGTTCTGTAAACATTCATCTAAAGTACAATAAAAAATAAAAAAATAAAAAGAAAAGTAAGGATGAGTTCTGACAGCAGAGTTAGGAGCAGTGTGGTGCTGGAGCTCGCCCGCCTGTGCTGGCCAATGAGAGCTGACTGGACGCATCTCTCCCCCATTCCAAGTTCAGTGACACTACATCCATGTTGGTAGCTTGAATCAACCATGGTGGGAGAATTTATACAGTAGAAATTGACAAATGCTACGAATCAGGGCCTTTTTATTTTTTCCCATACAGCAATTTCCTAAAAATATTTATGAGCACACCATTGTCTAGGAAAGACATTTTGAAGGAGGTGGCATTTAAGCCAGTCCCTGAAGGTATAAGGAAACATTCTAAGCCATATTTGGTAGACACCTTTTGTGGATTTCTTTTTTTCCTAATTTGTTAACAGATTTTTTTTCCCCACTGCTAATTTACATGAAGTTGACCAGCCTACCAATGTATATAATTTAAAAGGGAATGTTTAAATACTTATGTTCTCTCACCTATTCTGACATGATCTGGGCTGTGTAAGAAGTATAAGCCATAGCCTCAAGCCTCTAAAATTTCACAATATAACAAAGGTGGCAAAACATTCACAGACAACAGGTGTGTGTGTGTGGGTGTGTGTGGTGTATCAGTGCTATCGTTAAGTAGTAAACTGAGTTACAAAGAATTTAAATGGTAGAACAATCTTTATAAACCTAGTCATGCTGTGTGATAAATTAGAAAGCCACCCCATGGACTTAGTCTTATTTTACAACTAAAGAAAAGTATTTTATTTGCATGGAGAGAGTGCCCAGTTAGCCACACCACACGAGGGCACAAGGTAATAAAATCTCTATTTGAGAATACGACCAAAAAGATTGCCATTTACCTTGGGCAGTACTCACTGTCTTGGAGGCAGGAAGTAGATCAGAGAACCATAAACATCTACTTTATGTCTCTCTACCATACCCTGCTTTATATTCCTGAGGCCTTCCCAGCATAGATGCATCCTTGTCTGTGCCAAGCCAGTGAAACTGACTTCCCTTTCTCAATTTTTTTTCATAGCTATGTCTGTTCTTCCACCCACCTTCTCCCTTTCAGCTCAACCACTTTTCTCCCTTTCTCTAGCGTCCTATCAGTACTTCTCTGAGGTGACAGATAAGAGGAGTAACCCAGAACAGTTTGTTCCTTTTCAAAAGTGAGGATTTGGCTAAAGATTTCTACCACTCCTCTGCCTCCCAAACAGGAAAAAAGGAAAAAAAAGATATGATTAGGCGTAGGAATCAGGGCATCAGGGCTTGGATAGGCTTAGAATAGGGAAGAGGTAGACACTAAGATCATGTAAATTTGTTCTGGAACTCTGAGGCAAGGGTATACCCTGGGAAATCTGGCTATGTCCTGTCTTTTAGACAATGGAAATACTGTCTCTAGGGACATGAGTCAGTTCCAGACAAGTATTTAAAAGCCTTCTAGGTTAATTTGTCTATATGTACTAAAGATGGCAGAGCCAACTTGGATTCATGTCCAAAAGGTAATATTGTTACATGTCTAACATTTGACTTTGTAGTATACATACTTCATTTAATACTTTAATAAGCATTTCTGTATTTCCATGCAGAATATTTTTCCAGGTGAATTTCAAACAGTTTTGTGGATTATCAAATACACGGTATATCGCAGGTAGAACAGGGAAGTGGGTATGGAAGGATTTGTTGCCAACGCGGGTCAGTTTTTAAATCGGTTCTGCCTAGATCACATCTCTGATATAAACATAAGCTCTGATGTTACTGAAAGATGAGATTAAAAAAAAGTGATTGTTTCAGGCATGTTGGGTATCTTTCCCTTTGCTCTGAAACTCTTAGGCTATGTATTTCTAGGGGTCTTGCCAGAGAATTCTGGAGGCATTTGATACTTTGAGAATGAAATGAAAGGGTAAGGCAGTAAGGAAGTTTCTCAGACTTGGCAAAAGGTCTAAGATGGTGAAATAAAACACCTCTGTGTAGCTTGACAGCGGGGTGGACGGTGTGGAAATGAAGCAAAGAAAGAAAATGCACAATCCCTATGCTAAATAGAGTAGATGTCATTGTCTTAACACTCATTCTTCCTTTTGTGTATCTCTAGTGAAAAGCTAACATAACAATAATAATAGAAGTTTAAAAAGATGTTGAGGTGCTATCAGGGGGGCCGGCTCAATGGGCCTAGAATAATGCAAAATAAACTTAGAAAAAGGTAGACCCAATCTTTTTGGAGTCACCAGTCAGCAGCAAAGCACTTTAAGGGTGGTTCTTTAATTATTTAAAGCTTTCCAGTATTTAGAACAAAGAATTGGCACCAAGAATGCCGGTTAACATTCATTCCTTTCACCAGTTCCACGAAGGTGTGCCTATAACCCTCCTCGGGCTCATGGTGATCATTGTACTACACATATTTCTTTATTAACAAATAGTTATTGCATGCTGTTGCACTTATATATTGGCATATTAGTGGTGCATAATAAACCATCCCTAAACTCTGTGGCTCAAAACAGCAATCATTTATTATTAAAGCTCATGAGTTACAAAGTTGAGAGTCAGCTGACCTGGGCTGGTCTTGCTCATGCTTCAGTGGATTGGTTAGTTTTCAGCTGATCCATGTTGGCCTTGCCTTGTGTGAGTAAGGTGATTTTACTCTGCTTCATGTGGCTTTTATTTCTGTCCTGGGACCAATGGGCAGTCCAAGCATATTCTTCTCATGGGGATGGCAGAAGCACAAGAAGCAAGCGTCACTGAGAAAGCTCATTATAAGCCACTGCTTTCGTCACATTTCCTGATATGGTAATGGCCAAAGCAGGTAACAGTATTGAATCCACTGTTATGGGGCAGGCAGGCAAGAGGCCCAGGCCATGGTGGAAGGACCTACCAACTCATATGGCAGAGAGGATGAATACAGGGAGGAAGTGGAGCTGAATGATCCAGTCCACCCTGCATGCATTGCAGTGTGCCAGGTACCATTTTAGACACTGGTGATACAGGAAAAAAAAATCTCCCCCCATATAGATCTTAGATTCTAGTACTAGGAGACAGAAAATAACGAAATAAATAGGTAAATTATATAGCACGTGAGAAAATGATAGCTCCCCTGGAGAAAAATAAATAGGAAGTGCTGCAGGGAGGGGTTCAGTTCAAATAGGATGGATAAGAAAGGTGGTTTTTTTTTCAGAAAGTAACTGTTGATGAAAGGAGCCCTGGTGGCGCAGTGGTTAAGAGTGACGGCTGCCAACCTAAAGGTCGGTAGTTCGAATCCACCAGCCACGCCTTGGAAACCCTATGGGGCAGTTCTAACTCTGTCCTATAGGGTTGCTATGAGTTGGAATCGACTTGATGGTATTGGAATGGAGGAAAGACTTAAACAAGACCTGTGAGAGCCATGTAGGTATCTGGGGGAAGAGCTTTCCTAGTAGAAGGAAGAGCAATGTAATGGCCCTGAGGTGGGAACATGGCTTGTGAGTTTCCACGAATGGCAAGGAGGCCATTGAGGCTGGATTTGCATTAGAGGGGGGACAACTAAGAGATGCAGATCCAAATTATGGAGGACCTCACAGGCCATCATACATTTACTTAAGTGAGTTGCAGAGGAGTTATAAGAGTTGGTTTACATTTTAACAGGATCCTTCTAGCTTCTGTGTTGAGAATAGAACGTAGGGATGCAATGGTGGAAACGGGGCTTATTAAGTGGATGTTGCAAGAATCCATTGAGACATGATATTGTCTTGGACCAGGGTGGTAGCAGTAGAGTTTGTTGGAAATGGTTGGATTTTATATATATTTTAATGGTGGGACCAACAGAAATTGCTGATGGAGTGGATATGGAGTATGAGACAAATAGAAGAATCAAGGATGACACCAAAGTTTTAGACCTGGTAGAGTCGTCATTAACTGAGATGGGGAGGACTATGGGAGGAGGGAGATTGAGGGAGGGGATCAGATCAGTTCGAACATGTCAAAATTGAGATGCCAATGAGACATCTGGAGCCCTGTTGGCACAGTGGTTAAGAGGTTGGCTGCTAACCAGAAAGGTCAGCAATTTGAATCCACCAGCTGCTCCTTGGAAACCCTATGGGGCAGTTCTACTCTGTCCTATAGCGTTGCTGAGTTGGAATTGACTTAACAGCAATGGATTTTTTTTTTTAATTAGACATCCAAGTGGAGCTGTTGATTCAGCGACTAAATATTCATTTCTAGGGTTTGGGAGAGAGGTTGAAGCAAGAGATACACATTTGGTAGTCATTGCTATGGTCATTGGAAAGATGCTAGTTAAAGACTTGAGAGTAGGTGAGACCATCAAGGGAGTGAGTGGAGATGGAGGAGAGGATCAAGGATTAAGCCTTGGGCCACTCCTGTATTAACTGATCAGAAAGAAGAAGAAGAAAAAACAAAACAAAAACATGACAAAAGAGACTGAGAAAGAGGTAGGAAGGAACTCAGGAGAGTGTGGTTTCCTGGAAGTCAAAGAAGACAATGTTTTAAGTAGGACAGGTCAAGAAAAATGAGGCTAATAATTAGCCATTGGATTTATTATTGTGGAGGTCATTTTTGACCTTGAAGAGAGTAGTTTCAGTGGATTATTGGAGGCACTTCTGAGTCATTTGCTGAAAGGGGAAGCAGGGAAATGGGAAAAGGAGAAATAGATGTATTTAAAGTTTTCAATTATGTGCTTAGTAAATATTACACACACACACATACACAAATGCACCAGTATGTGTCATATTTACATATTTTATATATACATATATACATGTATGCACATATAAATATATACATAATGATCAAAAGAGCCAAACACTGCTACTTAGTTTTTTTGTTTTCCTATGAGTCGTGGAAATGATTTTACTAGTAAAAGCCTTTTTTTTCCCTTCGTCAGTGTAGTATTAATTAATTCAAGGTTTGATTTTCTTCCAGGTTTAAGAAGTTTGATGATAAGTATCTGCGGAAGCTTTTGATTCGGGAAAACCAGCCTAAGTCAAGCATTGTGTCCTTATATAAAAAGCTTGAAATCAAACATGCCATTGAGATGGCAGAGACTGGAATGATATGTACCACCCCTTCTTTTGCATCTCTCAAGTAAGTACACTTTTGCACGTAAATTTCAGTATTACTGTTTCTGTTGTTGTTAGGTGCCATCGAGTCAGCTCTGACTCATGGCGACCCTGTGCACAACAGAACAAAACACTGCCTGGTCCTGCGCCAGCCTCACAGTTGTTGTTACGCGTGAGCCCATTGTTGCAGCCACCGTGTCAATCCATCTGGTTGAGGGTCTTCCTCTTTTTCGTTGGCCCTCTACTTTACCAAGCATGATGTCCTTCTCCAGGAACTGATCCCTCTTGATAACATGTCCAAAGTATGTGAGACATAGTCTTGCCATCCTTGTTTCTAAGGAGATTTCTGGCTGTACTTCTTCCAAGACAGATTGTTCGTTCTTTTGGCAGTCCATGGCATATTTGGTATTCTTTGCCAATACCACAGTTCAAAGCTGTCAATTCTTGTTTGGTCTTATTTGTTCATTGCCCAGTTTTTGCGTGCATATGAGGTGATTGAAAACACCACGGCTTGGGTCAGGTGCACCTGACCCATGTGTGTTGATTGTGGATCCAAGTAAAATGAAATCCTTGACAACTTTAATTTTTCAGTATTACTAAGAATGTCTTTATAGTTTTTTGAAACTAGTAATAATGAAAAGTTTTGACTTATTTTAAAATGTGAAAGCCTAGAAATAGGTACATTAGGTTAGGTTAGGTTACATTAGGTTAGGTTAGGTTATTATAGAATTGACTAGTCAGAAAATACTCTTTCATAGAGTTTTATTATGCCTTTATTTTACTTGCTCTGGGAAATTCAATGCTTATTGAACGTATATCAAAACCTCCTTAGTAGGCCTTTTGAAATGGAATATTTTATAAGTATACTTTTATACGTATATTATAAGCACATATGTAATTATATAGTCATTTTCTCATAGATTATCAACATTATGGATATAATTGCTTTCTGGGTTCTTTGAGGGCCTAGTCTAAAGGAAAAGTATAGCATTTCCAATTCATGTATTGATCAAGTACATGAAATATTTTTCTAGATACTTAATTTTTAGTAAGATTCTTTTGTGCTTAAAGCAGTACCCATGGAAAGAATACATACCTCCTGGGTTCCCTCCTATTCATCCATCCACCTATATTTTTTCAGTAAAATGTAAGTGGTACCCTTATAATTAAATGTGAATCATAACATTTAACTGTTTATCTCAAGATTTGGATCTTTATATAGAAAAATGATTCATATAATTAGCCTCACTAAATTGTACACACTAAAAACCTTGAATTAGCAAGTGTTGCATAATATATATCTTTACAACAGCAATTAAAAAAAAAAAAGAATAAATAGCTTGGGCCTGAGTTTGGTGCTTATGGGCACAACCTGAACTAATCCAAGCAAATAGCACACTACAGTGTTCACTTCGGGTTTTGTACTTTGAGAACACCTGTTGTTTGGAGGTCACCTAGTCCAGAAGAAGAGACAGTATCACTGAATCATAGTTCAAGATTTGGAGAGAATGTTAGTGGCCATCTAGTGCAGTGGTTCTCAGCCCTGGCTCCATGTTAGAATCACCTTCAGGAGTGTTTATATAATACAGATGCCTGGGCCCTACCCCCAGACTAATTAAATCAGAATCTCTGGTGTTGAGGCCCAGGAATAAGTATATTGAAAATTTCTTCAGATGTTCATAATATGAAGCCAGGATTAAAAGCTACTGATCTAGTTCATCTCTCTAATTTTAAAAATGAGGAAATAAAGACTCAGAAAGATGAAGTGAATTACCCAAATTGTTAGAGTGTATCAGTAGCAGGACTGTCAGTACAGTAAAACCTCAGTTAGCAAATGAAGTTATTTCATCATGTAAGCATCATTCCTTCCCTATCACAAAAGTAACATAAATTATAGGTTTCCACTGATTTCTTCTTCTACTCATGAGCTTAAGTTCATTTAAACTAAATGTCACCTGTATTAAAATACTGCATGGTAGGGTTGAAGTGAGAGAGGAAGCTCCAATTTATATTCAACCATAAAAACTATGATTTTTTTTACTAGGACTCAAAGTTCCCTATAAAAATTATGAGAGTTTACAGGGTTCAGAATAAAAAGAAGTGCTGATACAGATGGCTGAAAGGTAAAGAAATTACATTGCTTTAGAAACAGCAGTGCCCTGAGCACTAGAATGACTGATTTATAGTCCCAGATATGCAAGTAACTTGCTGTGTGACCTTGAGCAGGTCCATCTAAGTTTTTTCAACTAGAAAATAAGGTTCAAATTGATCTTTAAGGTTCCCTCCAGCTTTAAAATTTTATGATATTCCTTATGCACTATTCCATTTGCAATTGCAATAAAGGAAAACTCAAATTACCCAGCTTTTCCAAGGCAAGCCATTGTCTTTGTGATCAAAGATGAAGGAAATCTCATTTTAACTCTGTGTTTACAAATCATTTTGGAACTAGTAGTATGCAGAGTAAAGGTGGTGAAGGGTTAGGATTAGGGAAGTAGGTAACAAAATTAATGGTTGATTATATAGTTGTCATATCAAGCATTTCACCTATCCTGAAATATTTTTTCTAGAGGAAAATAGAAGCAGTAAGGGGCATAATAAGGAATTGTATTTCTGGAAATAATGGAATGAGTAGCTCAGATTATATCATCTTCTAAGAACAACTAGAAAAAGAGGACAAAATATATTTTTAAAGTTGCTTGACAGGAGAGCTGCCAAGGCATTGAGGAAGTACTTAGTTAAGATCTAAGCAAGGAGGAAGCACAGGAAGACAGTACTGGTGATTGGGGCCATTTTCCCCCTTGAGCTATCTATTGATTAAAGTGATGGCATCTGAGAGCCTAAGAGGCTAAACAAAAGTTCTAACAGACTAATTGGTCTGGGGGAATAAAATTGGAATTCAGAAGCTACCAAGAAAGGGGAGCTCTTGTATCCAGTTGTAGGCTATTACTTTAAAGTCCTATACCTTAGCTCTCAAACAAAAGAAATCCAGTCTAGAATCATCTAAATCCATGGTTGTTTAAATCATCTGGGAATGATCATACCCCTATCCCAGTTGGTTGAGAAAATCAAACTTTAATCTGTTCTGAAGGAATGTAAGATCCTAAAGAGCCTTAAACTACTTCTATGAATTTTTATACATAATGTCTAGCAGGCACTAAAAAATAACCAAGTGTATGAGTAGAGAAGAAAATGTGACTGAAACATTGAGAAAAAGATAAAGGAAGTATAAAATAGAAGCAGGAAGAAAGGGGATAATTGACTTATCGGATGAAAAAACTTAATATATTTAAGGAAAGAAAATAGCATTAACTCTTTTGGCAGTGTTATGGTGACTATATAAATAAAAATACCTAAGTGGAAATTCTATATCTAAAAAAATAAAAATAACTGGAATTTGATGGGTTTAACATCAGGTCAGATACAGTGAAGGAGAAAACTAGTGAATTGGAAGACAAGCCAGAAGGAGATAACCAGAATGAAGCACAGGGTGAAAAAAAAAGATTAAAAAAATATAGAAAAGAAAGTAAGAAATGTATTAAATATGGTGAAAAGATACAGAAGGAGATGAAAGATATAATAGGGTAGAGTCAATATTTGAATAGATAATGACTGAGAATTTTCCAAAACTGATAAGAGACTTGAAGTATGATAAAGCCCAAACAGATTAGATAAAACAAAAATGAAATCTAGGCACATATTAGTAAAACTGCTAAAAATCAAACACAAAGAGAAAACCTTTAGCATACCCAGTAAGTGGAGGGGACCCATTTAATATAAAGGAGTAAAACTGACTTCTCAACAAAAGCAATGGACGCCAACGTTATCTTCAAAATTCTGGAAGAAAGTAACTGCCAAACTAGAGTGGCATACCCTGCTAAAATATCTTTGAAAAAACAATAGTAGAGGAGGGAAGGAAGGGATGGGGAGAGGAAATCACTAACTAGATAGTAAACAAGTGTTAACTTTGGTGAAGGGAAAGTCAACACACAGTATAGGGGAAGTCAGAACTGCTTGATGAAGGCAAAGTCATAGAGGCTTCCTAGACACATCTAAATACCTTGAGGGACCAAGTTACTGGGGCTAAAGGCTGGCGACCATGGTCTCAGGGGAACTCTAGGTCAATTGGCATAACATAGTTCATAAAGAAAACATTCTATATACTACTTTGGTGAGTAGCGTCTGGGGTCTTAAAAGCCTTCAAGCAGCCATCTAAGATACATCTTTTGGTCCCATCCCATCCAGAGCAAAGGAGGATTAAAAAAACCAAAGACACAAGGAAAACATTAGTCCAAAGGACTAATGGGCCACATGAACCACAGCCTCTACCAGCCTGAGCCCAGAAGAACTAGATGGTGCCTGGCTACCACCACACATGGCTCTGAAAGTGTTCACAACAGAGAATCTTGGACAGAGAGGGAGAAAAATGTAGAACGAAATTCAAATTCACACACACACACACACACACAAAAAAAGACCAGGCTTACTTTCTGACAGAGACTGGAGGAACCCCTGAGACCATGGCCCCTGGACACCCTGCTAACTCAGAACGAAGCCACACTGAAAGTCTGCCTTTCAGCCAGTGATTAGACAGGCCTATAAAACAAACAACACAGGTGAGGAACGTGCTACTTAGTTCAATCAAGTCTACCAGACCAAATGGGCAACACCTGCCCAAAACCAAAGACGAGAATGCAGGAAGGGACAGGAAAAGTGGACAAACAGACACAGAGAACCCAGGGTGGAAAGGCAAAGGGGGAGAGTGCTGACACATTGTGGGGATTGCAACCAATGATACAAAACAATTTGTGTATAAATTTTTGAATGAGAAACTAATTTGTGCTGTAAACTTTCACCTAAAACACAATCATAAGAGGCAGGAAAAATAGAATGTAAATAGCAAGATGCTAGACTTGAACCCAAAGGTAATTACATTAAATATAAACTTAATAAATATTCTAATTAAAAGGGACAGATAGTCAGAATAGATAAAAATACAAAACTCACCAAACGTTGCTTATAAGAGACACACCTTATATGTAAGGATATAAAAATATTGCAAATAAAAGGACAAAAAAAAAGCATGTAATGAAAGTATGAAACATTATCAGAAAATATAAACTTTAGGACAAAAAACATTGCTAGAGATAAAGAGATGCATTGCAAAATGATAAATGTTCAATTCAGCAGGAAGCTAAAATGTCTTAATTAGTATATGAATAATAACATAGCCTCAAAATACATAAAGCTAAACATGACAGAACCACATTAAAACACACATATTCATAAACACTGTGGAAAACTGTTAATATTCCTCCCCTAGTAAGTGATAGAACAAATTTTCAGTAAGAATATAAATGTTTTCAATAACACAATTAATGAACAAATCTTTAAAAATTCTTATGAAAAATATATCTTCTTACTGCAAGGGAAGCAAATACAAAATAAAATAAAAACAAAACAAAAACTAGAATGTCCTTATATTTTGGAAGTTAAATTAAAATTGGCTCAAGTAAGAAGTCATGATGGAAATCAGAAAATATTTTGAATTGAATAATAATGTAAACATTATTACTAAAAATGTAATATTATTACATATAAAAATTTGTGTGAAGCAATACTTAAAGAGGAAACTTTTAACCTTAAATAAAATTACTAGAATTGAAGTCAGGCTGAAAATCAATAATTTCAGCACTCATGCTATGAAATTAGAAGAGGAAGCAACACATTAAACCTACAAAAGAATAGAAAATTTGAACAGTCTTCCAGCTATTAAGTAAATAAATCTGTAATTGAAACCCTTTCCATAAAGAAAACTCTGAGAACATTTGGCTTTGTGAATTTTATCAAACATTAAAGAAAGAAATAATAATAATCTCATACAAACTCTTTCAGAGATTAAGAGGAAAACTTCCCAAATTGTTTTTCTGAGACTGGAATAACCTTGATACTAAACCTGACAAAGATATTTTCAAGAAAGGAATATTATAGACCAACTTTAATCTATAATATTTCTGTAGAAATCCTAAACAAAATATTAGCAAACCAAATACAGGGATGCTATAGCGAAGGACATGCATAACAATCAGTTTGGATTTATTCCAGGAATACAAGGCTGGGTAACAGTAAAAAATCAGTCAATATTATTCACCACATTAATAAAGAGAAAGAATCATGATAATCTCAATAGATACAGAAAAATTATTTGATGAAATCCAGTATCTAATCTTGATTTAAAATAACAATGAACTCTAGGCAAACTAAGAATAGAGGAAACCATTCCTTAAACTGATAAATTTTATTCATAAAAAAGATAGCAAATATTATTTTTAATATTGAAATTTGAAAGATTTACCCTGAGATCTGGAACAAGACAAGGATGCCTATTATTACCATTTCTATTTAATATTTTATCAGTTCTAGGCAAGAAAAAGAAATTAAAAAGATAAGGATAAGGAAGGAAAAGGTGAAGTTATTATTAATCACCACCAACCTGATTGTTTTCATAGAGAATTGAAAAAAAACCTATAGGTAAATAATTAGAAATAGTAAGTAAATTTATGTAGGTTTTTGAATGCAGAGTAAAAAAGTGATATTTTCCTAAATATCAGCAAACCAAAAAATTGTGTAAATAGCACGTGAGACATCAGATACATCAGTATCAAACAACATCAACCATGAACATCAACCATGAACATGGAATATAGTGAAAATATGTGAGAACTCTACACAGAAGTCTATGCAGAAAGTACAAAACAAAGAAATGAAAGATGATGTTAATAAAAAGAGAGAAAGTCTCAATATTGTAAAATTTTAAATTTGTACCAAACTTATCTATGAATTCAAAGCAATACTATTCAAAATCCCAACAGTTTGTGGTGTGTGTGTGTGTGTGTGTGTGTGTGCGTGTGTGTGTGTGTAATTAGAGAAGTAGGTTCTAAAGCTTCTATGGAAATTTGCAAAATTAACCAAGACATTTTTGAAGAACAAATTCAGATTATTTACTCTATGAGAGAAAACAAGATTCATTATAAAGTTACAGTAATTAAGACAATATGATAGTAGAGCAAGTACAGTAGACCCACCAGTGGCACAAAGTAGAGTTTAGAATAGACCCACCCATATATGGACACTCAATGAATGACAAAGTTTACAGTACAAAGCCGTAGAGATAGAATGGTTTTCTAAACAATGGTCCTGGGTCAGGTAGGTATCCATATGGAGAAAAAATAGGTTCCTGGGTGGCGCTCAAGTTCTAACTTAAAGGTTAGTGGTTTGAACCCATCCAGTGGTGCACTGGAAGAAAATCCTGGTGACCTGCTTCTGTGAAGATTACAGCCAAGAAAACCCTGTGGAACAGTTCTACTCTATAATACATGAGGTTGCCATGAGTCATAATTGATTCAATGGCAACAAGTTTTGTTTTTGTTTTTTTGGGTTTATGGAGAAAAAAGGAAATTGACCCCTACCTCCCACTGTATCAGTTCAAGGTGTATTGTAGATTTGAATGTAAAAGATTTAAACAATAAAGCTTGTGAAGATTTGTCTTAGTGCTGCCATACCAGAAATATCACAAGTGGATGGCTTTAACAAAGAGAAGTTTATTTCCTCACAGTAAAGTAGGCTAAAAGTCCAAATTCAGGGTGTCAACTCCAGGGGAAGGCTTTCTCTCTCTTTCTGTCGGCCTTCTCGTCAGTTTTCCCCTGGACTAGGAGCTTCTTTGTGTAGGGACCCTGGGTCCAAAGGACACACACTGCTTCTGGCACTGCTTTCTTGATGGTATGAGGTCCCCCTCTCTCTCTACTCACTTCTCTCTTGTATATCTCAAGAGATTGCCTCAGGACACAATCCAATCTTGTAGATTGAGTCCTGCCTCACTAACACAACTGCTGCCCATCCTCCCTCATTAACATCATAGAGGCAGGATTTACAACATTTAGGAAAATCACAAAATACCAGGAATCATGGCCCAGCCAAACTGATACACACATTTTTGGGGGGACATAATTCAATCCATGACAAGATTATAGGAGAAACTCTTCCTAGGAATGGGGAAATATTTCTTAAATAAGCACAAAAAGCACTAATTCTAAAGGAAAAGATTGCTAAATAGACGTATTAATATTATGACCTTTTATTTATCCCAATGCATCGTTAAAGGAGTAAAAAGACAAACCACAGAATGGGAGAAGATACTTGACTCGTAAAACGGTAAACCAAAAAACCTACTGCCGTCGAGTCGATTCTGACTCGTAGCCACCCTACAGGACAGAATAGAAGTGCCCCATAGGGTTTCCAAGACTGTAAAGCTTTACAGAAGCAGACTGCCACATCTCTCTCCCGAGGAGCTGATCAAAAAATATGAGCAGAAAGCTGAACAGCTTTCTTAACAATAAACCAGAAAAACCCAAACCCATTGCTGTCGAGTCAATTCCAACTTATAGAGACCCTATAGGACAGAGTAGAACTGCCCCATAGGGTTTCCAAGGAGCAGATGGTGGATTCAAACTGCTGACCTTTTGGTTAGCAGCTGAGCTCTTAACCATTGCAATTGTTGTCTAAACAATAGCTCTACCTTAACAAAATGCTTTTTAAAAAATCATCTGAGCATTGAAGGTGAGCAAAAATGAATTACCTAGATCTAGAGAAGTCTGTCCTGCTGAAATCTTATATCTCTCCGTTCATTACTCTTGTGTTTATTCATTACCCATAGGACACGGTTGTCATATCCTAATAATTACTAATATAGTTGGTTACAGCAACAGCAAATTTGTATTTTTAAAAATGCAACCTTAAAAAATGCAAGACAACTATGCTTATTAATTTGTGTGTTCTTGGCCCATCTTCTTAAGACCTGCATTTATGGATATTAACCTTTTAAGCTTTAGTTTCCCTAAGTTTATTATCTGTTTATTTTATTGTATCATGTATTTTTATATGCCCTCAAAGTCTTTTTTGGAAGGAGTTGGGGTAATAATATATAAATATATACATAAACATTATAAATGGTGTGTTTACAGATACTTTAATGAAGTATTTAAAAGACCAAGCCTTTAGAGTAAAATACAACCCATTAAGTTTCTGTTGAAAAAAAATCCTATATTAGTTTATTTATGGAGTGTTAGAAATACATTATAAGCCACTATAGTTTTACTTTTTCAAAAAATTAGATGAATAGAACCTGTACAAACTTGTACACAATAAGCCTGTCATGACTGATTTTTTAAAATAATTTATTTTCTTTAATTTTTGTGGTTGAAAATACACACAGCAGACCATACACCAGCTCAACAATTTCTGTGTCTACAATTCAGTGACAATGTTAATTCTTCAGGTTGTGCAATGAGCCTCACTCTTCTTTTCCAAATTGTTCCTCCCCCGTTAATGTAAACTCTGCCCCCTAAACTTCCTAGCCAACCTTTCAAGTTGCTGTTGTCAATTTGATCCTGTACAGATAGTTCTTTAAAAGAGCACATTGCTCAAGGCAGATACTCTTTACTAATGAAGCTTAACTATTGTTTGGTTTAAAGAAGACTTCAGGAGATATTTTTGGTTTTAGGTTTAAAATTTAAAGATTATCTCAAGGCAGTAGTTTCAGGGGTTCACCCAGTTTTAATGGCTCCCAAAAGTCTGGATTCCATGAGAATTTGAAATACTATTCCACATCTTTCCCCCTTTTGATCAAGATTCTTCTATAGAATCCTTGATCAAAATGTTCAGTAATGCAGCTGGGCACCATCCAGATCTTCTGGTCTTTTGGCAAAGGAGGCAGTTCATGTCATGAATGAATTTGACAGTGAAATAAAAGTTTTAAAATTTGGAATTATTTAAAAATATTGCATATAATAAGTCCTAAGTATTGTTCATTAAACTAATTCTTCTTAAATAATAATACTATATATCTAAGGAAGAAAATCAATTATTCCAATAGTTATTCAGTAGTAAAACACTTTTTTCCCCTATACTTTTGCAGTGACTGTCGTGAAGAAAAAATAAGAAAGCTCACACCTGGTGAAATGGATGAAATTCGAGAAATATTATCAAGAAATCTCTATCAAATCCGTCAGCGAGTGAGAATAATTTATTTATCAAAATACTTACTTGCCCTTGGCTAAAAATGTCCATTCTTATTTTCTGCTATAATTGGATTCCCCACCATTAACCTCGAATTCTGCATGTCCCACACCGGGCATCTTCTCTTCTTTTCTCAGACCCCTCTTCACAGTGCCCCCATCTTGCCAGGGTACCACTCTCTTCCTGGACTCCATGGCTAAAGCCTGAGAGTCCCCTGGGTTTTCTGCTACTATGGGCTGAGAGAGAAAGAAATATGTGTTGACTCACTGTGAAGAAATTAATTGATGTTTTTTAAAAAAAAAATTGTTTTAAGGAAATGACTTCATAGCTTAGAAGACTTTTTAAATGTTTTCAGTCTTCCTTGTTATTCATAAAGTTCTGTAGTTTTTTCCTGTAATGCATCTTTTGCATCACTTTTACTACATTTCCATTGTCAGCACTGCATTCTAATCATTTGCTAATAATATAGTTAACACTTAGTGCATACGATTGGCTACCCTGTATTTCAGTGCACTAGGTGTATTAATTAACCTCTGACCAGGGGGTAATACTGTCTCCATTTCACAGATGAAGAAATTGAGGCACAGTGAGGTGAGGTGTCACACAGGGTCATACAGCTTGTCAGAAGCCCTCCTCACTCATGACTGGCCCATTTCTGTAGCTTCCTAGTGGGTCTCCCCAAAACCCTTCTCCGTTCCGTCCTAGATTACCATCATTCTGCTCATCTCCCTAAAGCCCCCCTTTAATGACAACATTCTCCTATTTAAACTAAACAAAACAATGGCTGTGGCTTCCTGGCTAAACTGTTCTTTCACAATTTGGGGTCTCTATTTCCAAATGCCGTTTTATACAGCCTATTTTCTGTAACTTCCTTGTCCACTCTCCCCAAAGGCTCATGATTTCCAGGTTCTGTCTTCCTTCTGTTGCCTGCGTTCTCTTCTCCATCTCCATTTGGAACACCCCACGGCTTCCTGTCAGCCGACTTGTACCCTCCAGTTTTTAATGTCTCTCCAGCAGCCACCAGCTTATTCCCAGCCCTGTCTTTAAGTGGGACAGCACTTTAAATGGGATAGCCCTGGTGGCACAATGGTTAAGAGCTTGGCTGCTAACTGAAAGGTCGGTGTTCAAACTCACCCAGCAGCTCTGAGGCAGAAAGACCTGGCGTTCTGTTCCTGTAAAGATTACAGCCAAGAAAACCCTATGGGGCAGTTCTGCTCTGTCACATGGGGTCGCTATGAGTCAAAATTGACTCGATGGCACCCAACAACAGTTTTCAAGCGGGATGGCATTTAGAGCTCATACCACATGATTTTAGCACTAAATCACATGGTTTTGTATTGTTTTGTTAGCTTTAGATGTCCAGTTAGATAGTAAACTCTTCAAGGCAGCGACGAAGGCTTGTTCTGTACTACCGTTGTGTAGCTCTTACAGGGCCTAATATAGTGCTGGGCGCAGGAATACTCCCAAGAAATATGTTAACTGTATCAAAAAATGAACTTAATTACTGATTATGATTTATTTTAGGAAACATATCTAGATAGTTGATGAAACTCTAAAAATGCCATGAACAGACCTAATTTAGACCGTTTTTCTCCTGCAAATACTGGGCCATGATGATTGCTGGCGGCAGCAGCTTTCTGTTTTATGTTTTGACAACCGCGGAGAAAAGAGGAAAAGCTCTAAGTTAATCCAAAGGACATGGCACCACCAACTGGCTTCAAGTGGTTGTTTTTTTGTTTTTAATACACCAGTAATTTCTATCGAGCAGAGGATGTATGGAGATGGTTTTATTTTTTTGTCAGCTACTGGTGAGGACTAAATACATACAAGGTAATTGGATGTAGACAAAGGCACTTCATGAATTCAGTCATTTTCCTCATTTATAAAGATTGCACTTTTCAATGAAAAACACATTCACTGATTTTTATTAGCAGATGAAGTGGACCCTCAAAATTTGAAAGAATGTTAGCTTTTACATTTTTAATTTTTATTTATTTGCTTGCTCTGCACAGATGTTTTAAATGCCTAGCTGAGGTGCAAAGACCGAGAAACCTGGTCCAGTTTTGGAATGTCTAGGGGGATGATTAGCTCTTTTGTAACATGGCACGTGTGTGTTTTCCTTTCAGACTTTGTCGTACAACAGGCACAATCTAACTGCAGACACGAGTGAGCGACAAGCCAAAGAGATCCTGATCCGCCGACGGCACAGCTTGAGGGAAAGCATCAGGAAAGACCACAGCCTAGGCCGAGATCGCGGGGTAACTGGAACCTGGGCCTCTGCAGTGCATTCGGCTTCCCCTGCAGAGCTAGCAGCTGTTCCAGCGGCTCTGCTGATGGAAGGGCCACTGAGGATTGATGCTGGGATGGGATTCTGGGATGGAATTAACTATAAATTATTTCCAAATTTTTTTTGAACACCTATTATGTTCCAGACACTGTTCTAGGCACTTGGAATACATCGGTGAACAAAACTGAGAAAGATTCCTATGTTTGTAGAATTTATATCCCAGTGGAGGAGAAGAAGACAATAATCAATAGACAGACTAAGTAAACTATGTTGTGATAGACAGGAATAAGCCCAGCCCATTGCCACTGAGTCCATTCTGACTCATAGCGACCCTACAGGACAGAGTAAAACTGCCCCATAGGGTTTCCAGGGAGCGGCTAGTGGATTCAAACTGCCAGCCTATTGGTTAGCAGCTATAGCTCTTAACCACTGGACCACCAGGGCTCCGACAGTAATAAGTACTATAGAAAACATAGCCAAAAATAGAGTCAAGGAAGGAGCTTGGGAGTACAGGGAAGGGTCAAATCAAGCTACAGTTTTAAATAGGATGGCTGGCCAGGCTTCAATAGTTAAGCTTTCCAAGGAGAGAGAACAGCCAGTGCAAAGGCCCTGAGGTTGGCAAGCCTGTGTGTTTCCCGAGGAACTGCGAGAGGACAGCAGTACCTGGGGTGATGTGAGCATTCAGGGAAATTCTGAGTAGAAAAGACGTTTTTCAATGATACTATAATTTATTGATTTAATATAGCAGGGATTGCATCTTATTTTTAATAATATTTTGTGTTGAGTCATCAGAGATCACAATGATTATATGTGAACAAGATTATCTTTTTTATGTATAAAATGTGACAGTCTCAGTTAAAAGTTAAAGAAACCAGAGACTGTGGCATTTGAAATATCAGCAAATTAGCTATAGTAATACTTATTGTTCTATCACTTTCAAAATCTGTCATAGTAAATAAAACTTAAATATGCTGCATTTTCCACGTCTTTTCTTGCCTTACATGGAAGTTCTAAATCTTTTTAGCATCATCTTAGACATGGATGTTTCCGTACCTTTTCTTTAAGAAAACCCAGTGGTTTTTCACATCTTGTTTCTAACGGTCCCAGTTTACTTCTACTTTTCCTTAGTACTGATTTCAGTTATATTTTGGAAGGAATTTAGTAATTTCAAATACAATAATTATTGCTTAGAATTTTACTCCCCACTCCTACAGGACCTTACAAAGTAGTTTGGAATAGAGAACTAAAATTTTAATTTTTAACACCAGTTCAAGTTTGGCCAAGAATTTCTAAAGTTCTAATATACACTAAAAGCTATTCGTGTAGTCTAATTAAGGTTTTCTATTTCCTTTGCAGGCTTCTACAGCAACCTCCCGATATTTATCTTTGCCTAAAAATACAAAGCTTCCGGAAAAGCTACAAAAGAAAAATAATTTTTCTAATACAGGTAATGAATACACTTGGAACAAAACAATTTCAAATTTATTTACTATTGCTTATGAAAGAACAATTTCCCTATTCTTCTTCTTCATTAAGGACCATGAGTCCAATAGCTTGCAAATGTATAATAATAATATGGTGAGCTTTTATTGGCATTGCAACCTTTATACATGTGTACATGACAAAGGATTCATTTATTCCTCATAACAATGCTGTTTGACATAGCACTAGTCAGTACTGTTAACATGGTGGTTAGTCAACAGATAAATAAAAACCATTGCCATTGAGTCAATTCCAACTCATAGGACAGAGTAGAACTGTCCCATAGGGTTCCCAAGGAGTGCCTGGTGGATTCGAGCTGCTGACCTTTTGGTTAGCAGCCGAGCTCTTAACCACTATGCCACCAGGGTTTCCAACAGATAATTAGAAAATTATAAATCTACAAATGTGTAAATATTTAAATGTTTACAGTAATTCTAGTATATTTTCAAAAAGGCAACCATGTATTTTACTTCTGATTGTAATTATTAAATCTCTATCGTAAGGTCTAGTACTACCATCTACTTATTTGATCATAATCTTTCTGTAGACTCCCAAGTCATTTTTTGTGAAGCCCAGAAGAATCATGTTAGGATTTCATGTTAGTGCAATGTGGGATATAACAATAATACCCTTTTGGGAGGGGCTTGTTTACCTAATTAACCTAGAATAAGAAAGTCTAATGATGGCCCCTGCTAATGAAGGGCGAGGTGAGAAATGGGAAGAGAGAACAAGGGAAGAAAAGAGAGCACTGAATATTTAGAATACTGTGCCATGTTGTCACCAGGTGACCATCAAAAATGCTCTCAGGTCCCAAGGATCTCAACTCTTGGGCAAGCTCACTGGGTGACCCACCTACAGCCATCCCACCAGCTGTCCCACCCATAGGACTGCACAGCCTTAATCTGGACAATCCACTGGTTCTAATCATTGCTCCTGCCTTTGTTTGGAAAATTCACATTGGTGGTTTAGACCTCTTCTTCCCCTTTTATGAAAATATAAAGGAAATAAGCACAGCTGTGTATGAGATTCCAGATTAAGACGAGAATGTTTATAAGAGCAGCTAATTATCAGACTGCTTAGAGTCCCTGGGTGGTACAGTTAACACACTAACAGGAAGGTTGGAGGTTCAAGTCCACCCAGAGGTGCCTTGGAAGAAAGGCCTAGTGATCTACTTCCAAAAATTCAGCCATTGAAAACCCTACAGAGCACAGTTCTACTCTGACACACACAGGGTCGCCATGACTGGGAGTCAATTTGACAGCAACTGGTTTTTTCTCAGACTACTTACTGTGTGCCAGACACAGTGCTGAGCTTCTTGAATACACTGTCTCTTTGGGTCATTCCCGAGGGGCTGGTGAGAGCATAGCCCGCGATGCCAGACTGTCTCTGTGTGAATCTAGCTCTACCACTTACTACTTGTTTTTGAAACTCAGTTACCTCATCCCTAAAATGGGTGATTATGACGATTAAATGGGTTAATGCATTTTAAAGAGCTTAGGACAGTGCCTGGCACATAGTAAGCTCTTCAAAATTGGTATTGTGAGTACACACTTGTGGAAATGAATGTTTGCAGAGGCTGTGTACCACGCCCAGGGTCACACAGCTAGGGTTAGAGTGAGGTCTTGGGGGGGGGGGTGGCCCTGCCTTCCTAGAGCCTGAGGGCACAATAGTTGCCTGATCCACTAGTGTGCTGTCACCTAGAACACCTTCTCTCTAAAATGGTTGTCCTTTTGCTCTGTGGTAGATGGCAACAGCAGTGACTCAGACACAGGTGACGGGACCACCGTGCTCAATTTGCAACCCCGAGCCAGGCGCTTTTTGACAGAACAGTTCTCAAAGAAAGCCCAGCAGGCCTACAAAGTGGAATATAAGAACGAGGTAGAAGGAGATTCCAGCAGAGGGCAGCCGGGCAACACCTCGGCTCCCCACAGCAAAGGGGGGGACACCCGGACCCCAGGCCTACTACGGCAGCCCCTTCTCGCCAAAGGCCAGATTGGCCCAGTGCGCCAAGAAAGCTTGACTGAAGGTATACGACCTAAGCCACCACCAAGGCTGGTCCGGAGGGCATCGGAACCTGGAAATCGGAAAGCCAGATTCGGAAGTGATAAGTCTTAACAGAAACGGCTGAAGCAGACCTGGAGAGATGAACCCAGCACACCCACAGTTTATTTCTCTGAAACCTGACAATAATGGAATCCATTTTAAACTTTCTATGGCTCCTTCTTTGGGTGGTAGAGCCATGCCACTGATCAATGGGATGAATCTCGAGAAGAGGAAAATCAAAGAAAAAAAGTCCCATAAAGTAGCTTTTATGACTTGTTACTAGCAACTGTATTCTTTGCAGGCCTAAAGGGGGAAAAAAAAAAAAAAAGTGTGCCTTTATTGAACTTTAACGACAGAACTTGAAATTTTTAACATACCCTGTTGATGAAAATTTTAATATATACATATATGTCTCAAATTTTATTTATGTAAACACATGTATGTCTGTACTCAGTTTTTAAGTGATCGGCACTAAAAATATTCACAGCATCTTTCCAAGAGTTAAAGGGCAGCTCCTGGAGGGTGGTGGGTCCATCAGCTCAGGGTAGGGGAGTTTCCCGTCCTGAAGAAGAGTAGTTGGTAAAGGAAGACCACAGCACATAGCAGAGAAATCCAATGAATCAGATAGGAAGACAATCACAACGCCTAGGCAGATAAAGCACCCGGGTCCCCCAGCACAAGTTAGAGGCCCAGTATGCCTGTGAAATGTAAGTCAGTTGGTTCTCAATTTGTTCCTCTGTCTATTATGAGTTTGGTCCTAACATACAAAGTCCATCTCCCCTTCTTGTTGAGATGCTGCAAAGAGAACCGTTGGGTGGGTGAAACCACACAACTTCCAGTAGAGGACGGGCTCGGTGGGAGCTTTGGATGACATTCCTCCCGTGTGGGCCTCCCGTGTGGGCCTCCCGTGTGGCATGCGGGAAAGCGAGGCAGCACTTGTTTACAGCTTGTTGATGGGTTTTATATTGTGCAATACTTGGAGAAGGATGCAGGAGGTGATTTTCATGCCCATCAACTACCACTGCTTTAGGAAAATTTTCCTCTAGAGCGTTCAAGAACTTTGAATCCAGGTCATAGGCTCCACACAAGGATGGAAGTTTATATAAAGGGCATTCGAGTGTTTAAAAAATGGGTGAGATTTCAGGTTTTGACTTTTATTCAGGAAGCACTTTGGAGAAGGTGGGAGTTCTATTTTTTTTGCACTAGGCTGTAATTTGGTACCTCTCCCCCTCAATAAAGTCTAACTCATATTTTTCATATAAAATGGATTCTATTCATCTGAGTACCATTTTAAAGGACAGCAGAAGGAAAAAGAAGTGGAACATAATCATTAAAGATTAACATTTAAATCTGTCTCTTAAAGTGTATATTTTCTTTGCTTGTTATTTTTGCTAACAACACCTCTTAAAACATGGCTGGAACAAGACTCTACATTTCTGGGTTTAGTTATTAGATGAAGCCACTCATGTACCTTGGTTTCGCACTGGAGACACGCCAAAAGATACAAGTGTCCCCAGTATTATTGGAAGACACATGAATTAGAAAAATGGTTCTCCAACCCCTTTCTCCACCCACCAACGTGAAGAAGTAAGTCCTCTACCCTTTCTTCTCATGTTCTAAAACCTTGGAAGACTGCTACATTGTCGGGCATGAGACAGAAACAAAAGGTACAGGTTCCGTTAGAGTACGCTTTCTTTCCCAAACTCTCCCAAGTTCATCTGTGGAAAGCACTGATTTGTAGTTTGAAAACTACAAGTCGAGGTAGAACTCTGTGCCAAAAATATCTCAACTTCAGATGTAACTTTTTTTCATAGTTTTTATGCTGAAAAAAATTAAACTAACAATTTTGTGATAATATGATTCATTAAACAGTGACATGTATTGCTGAGAATGCCAAGAGTTAAGTTGTGAGAATAGTTACAATTTATGAAATCTGAAAAGGAAGGTAGGTGGTGGTGGAGGTTGCCCTGGAGTCTATTCTGACTCATGGTGACCCCATGTGTGCAGAGTAGAACTGCTCCATAGAATTTTCAAGGCTGTGACCTTTCAGAAACAGATCACCAGGCCTTTCTTATGAGGCACCTCTGGATGTCTGAACTGCCAACCTTTCAGCTAGTAGTTCAGCACTCAACCGTTCGCACCACCCAGGGATCCACTGAAAAGGAAAGTAGAAAGTGAAAATGACCTTAAAAATAAATTTCCTGATTTCTCATATTAATAAACATTATAAGAAGTTTAACTTCCTGGAATTGAAAAACATGGAAGTTGTTATATCACATATTGTTGTTAAGGCGGTAGACCAATTCAGCTTTCATTCATTAAAAGTCACATAAAGAATTCAAATGACATTGCATAAATTTCTTCAAAGAACACCTTTGTCATTTTATCTTCACTATCAGTTTCAATTTTTTCCTATTTTTCATGACAAATGTAATGGAAAATAAAAGTTGCCTTCATTTCACTTTTTTTTAAGCCTTTTTTTTTGTTAATTATTAGCTTCTGGAGATAATAGATGGACAGAGTATGCAGGTAAAACACTTGAAGTACCATAACAATCTTAATTTCGGTAATACAGAAAGATCTCCAGCTTTTGCCAACACTTTATCCAACCAAAATTCCAATGCGGCTGCAAGATCTGTGTCTTTGGTGGTTGTTGTAACAAAATTTGAACTACCGAAAGGTGAATAGCCAAGGTTTCTTTCTTTATATATGATGCTAAGGGTTGACTGTTAGGGGAATTGTTATTCCACTTAGCAGAGAACTAGAAATTGGCCCAAAAGTCTGATGCATTTTAAAACATGCGTTTTCTGTATATGCCTCCAAAATAGCTGGGATGAGATTTCTTACAGCTTTTTCCAAGCTTTGTGGGTGAGGTATGATGGTTCACCTCTATCCAGAGGCACATCGGAAGAAAGGTCTGGTGATCTACTTCTGAAAAATCAGCCATTGAATGCCCTATGGAGCACAGTTCTGCTCTGACACACATGGGGTCACCATGAGTTGGAACTGACTCGACGCCAACTGGTTTCATTTTTTTGTAGTGGGAGTATACCATTCTACCTGGGATCTGTATAGAATTTATATAAAAATTTACACAAAAAGTATAGAGAAGCAGTTACGTATTGCATGTCTCAGCATGGTTTGCATTTGTTGCCCTGTTCAAATGGTGTTTATGTTAAAACTGGCACTTCAGTATCATTTGAGAACTGTGATATTTTAGTTAGTTCGAAGTTCACACTTTATTCTTTAAAAATGATGAAGGCAATTTGCTTTGTCCATTATTTGCTGAGACCTGGGGGCTATTCATTTGATCCCTTTCATCAGCCTGCACAAGAAAGGATCATGGCTCCATTATACAGACTGGTGATCCTGGGGTTTGCCTTTGTCACTTTTAGAGCTTCTACTTTGTATCTCATTTTTTAAACCAGGCCTTCCTTTTCTTTAATCTGCTCTTGAGGAAAGCTGGAGCCCGGCTGGTAACTACTGTATGGTAATGATTATAGACACAGTTCTTCGTGAGAGATACTTTCCTTCAGATTTTGTCCACTCAACACCTAGCTGCTACTGTCAGACATGGATCGACTATACCAGAGCGGTAGAGATGAAACTTCCAGATGATTAATTTTTGAAGAACTTGTTTAATGTAATGGTGACACACAATTTTTTGATCCCTTTTAGGTTGCAATTAACTAGAATTTTAAAAACAAAATTCAATTTTACTACCTCTAAGTCCAACAACTAGTCCAGCTCCTACGGTGGGGTGCAAATGGTTAACACACTTGGTTGCTAACTGAAACGCTGGGAGGTTTAAGTCCACCCAGAGGTGCTTCTGAAGAAAGTCCTGGCAATCTGTCTCTGAAAAATCAGCCATTGTAAAGCTTACGGAGCACAGTTCTACCCTGACACACATAGGACGCCATGAGTCAGAGTCGACGGGACAGAAACTAGTTGGTTAGAAGTATAGTCCATAAATTGTGGTCAATTCTCTTACCTGTATGACGAGGAAATCAGTTTTTCTCATTTGTAGAGTTAACATATCTTCTGTAAATCGACTGTCAGAATTTCAGTCTACCCAGCTTATTATTTTGAAGGTTCAGAGCTGATTTCAGGACCTTTCCGTGTGTCACACAGGTTTTATGGGCACCCGTTATCATCATACTCTAAACCAAAAAACCAAACCCGTTGCCCTCGAGTTGATCCCGACTCATAGTGACCCTACAGGACAGAACTGCTCCATAAGGTTTCCAAGGAGTGGCTGGTGGATTTGAACTGCCAACCTTTTGATTAGCAGCCAAGCGCTTAACCACTGCACCACCAGGGCTCATGCTCTAAACCAAAAACCAAACTTGTTGCTGTTGAGTCGATCCTTATGGGGCGCTATGAGTTGGCTCATACTTGAGGGCGTGGGAATGTGGCTCCAGAGACACGACTAGTGGAGAGAATGCCAGACTCACCAGCGGGGATTTTTCTGATTTTCATTTCTAGAAACAAAATATTTTGTTGAATATTCAAACGTTTTTCTCCTTTATTTCGTTAGATCCTGTTAAGTCATAAGTACAACTGTACAACATTATTTAACAAAGCTATTTACATCCAGTTTTGGTAACTGCTTGCCAAACAGAAATTTTTTATATGTACACTGACAAAGTAAATGTTTTCTGGTTTCTGTGCAATGTCTTACGTAAGTTTAAATATTAAATCACATGCAAACATTAATCACTGCTAGAGAAAATAATAAATTGCATTAAATCATGACGGTTCCAGAAATTCCAATTTTTATATTTATAGATCAAAACCACTCTCATTTGTACTAAATGGGGTCATGATGGCTGGAATTAGTGAGTGGTAAGGATTTGAGTATTAAAAAATTTAATTCTATGATGGTGGAATAATCCAGAAAAGGATAACGATAATGGTTGCACAACATGAAGGCTGTAATTAATGTCACTGAACTGTCCATGTAGAAATTGTTGAATTGGCAAATGTTGTATTTTCACAATAAAAAAACTCAATTCTATTAGCTCTGAATATATATAATATGCATATATAATAGGCTTAAACTATTACTATGTTAGAGAATGTGATTAGAGGAATAAAGATTATAATTGGTCCATTAATATTCTATATGCAAATAGATCCTTGTAAAGGTTTCAAAGATAATATGTGGTCTAAAATATTAAATACTGCCCCCTCCAGCTAACCCAAACAAAAAAGTTAGGTTAATGCCAATTATTGCCTTATCAAAGAATTTTTAAATACAACACAGAACTAGGCAGATACCAACCCGCCAAATTTTAGGTTTTCAGTAAAGCAGTTTTTGGTACCCAGTTAATAAATACTCACTGTATTTGCTACCGTAATTGCCTCTTACTGTTGAGCATCTAGTTTAAGTACTTACCTATAATAGTTCAGGTGCTAACCAAAAGGTCAACAATTCCAATCAACCAGCCGCTCCCTGGAAACCCTATTGAGCAGTTCTACTCTGTCCTATAGGGTCGCTGTGAGACGGAATCGTCTCAGCGGCAATGGCTTTATAGCTAGAAAGTTTAACTGCAGATAAAACCTGGTATACTTTCACTGTTGTGTATTCCAAGGAGATGGCACTGTGCTGTTGACTTTGCTTTGAAGGTGACCAGAAGAAACTCACCCATTCAATGATGCTGAGCTGGCACTGTTGGAAGCCAGAATCTGTGTCTCTCCAAGCCTGTGCCTCAGCCACATACAACAGACTATTGGAGGCAA